ATACCGGTTTATGTCCTAGTGTCAAGATACCGAAGACGAGAACAACGATAAAATCGTCGAAAGTAGCCACTCTGGCTTCCGGACCAAAACTTCAGATTGAACTTGAAGATAGCAAGGAATTAATCTCGACGACACCCTCAGTTAAGGTTGAAGAAATGACCCAAGACCAACCTGTTTCAGTAAAAATTGATTCAGACGCACGGTCTTCTAGTCCTTTGTCTGAGTTGGAAGAATGATTTGACGGGTTGTTGGCTTTGTCTGATTTCAACTTTTTGTGTCTTTGCTGTGCGTTTTTTCTTTGCTATTTGCTCCATCGCGTCCAATAAATGTTTATAGCTTTGCTCTGAGTTGGATTAACTGTTGAGTTGTTTTCCTCCTGTATATACATCCTGATGATCGGCCGTAACGACAGACAAGATGAATGGTGTCCCAACACGAAGGTTGTGAAAATGTGGCAGATTTTTTTCGATGGAGCACTGCACAATATCTTTGGATAATATTCAGTGTTTGTTAATGCTTACTGTCAGCTCGTCAATTGACGATATATCTAGACATCAGAGCATATCTTAGGAAACACAAATGTAAGGTATATTTCGAATATATGAATAACAATGCGACGTATACACAATGCGATTAATCATAATGCATAATGATGAAGAGCTTGTGATCAAGGTTAGGGTTGTCGCGGACGCAACGTTCAGTAGCCTCGTGTTTGATCCAGAAAACAGGCGCTCAATAACAATAACCTTGTTCAGGATCAGGAGGCCGTTTGAATGTCACTGACGGCAAATCTGCTTTTCAACCCCTTCTACTGATCACCATGTCTCGAATTTCCGACGACGACGATAGAAAGTTGTACTCTGAGCGACCTGAATGGGCAGATGTTACTCCAATCCCACAATACCAAGGCTTGAATCCAATCGCGCCCATCTTCTACACTCCTCAGTGTGAGCAACTCACGAAGTTACTCATCTTATCGACCTTCATTCATTTCTTTATGTATTGATATTAGACAAAGATGCGACAGAATATTTCAGAGGTGTTATTAGTACAGGAGAGAAAAGTGAAAGAGTGTTGGAACTCACTGAAGCTATCATTCTAATGAATCCTGCTCATTACACTGCTTGGTATGTTCCGTTCTTTGACATTAGTATATCGACGCATACTTGAATTACTACACTGAAAATATTAGGCAATATCGTTACCAAACCTTGATCGCTTTGAAGTCACCTCTCGATCTCGAACTCAAACTAATGGATGGCATCGCCATTCAATTCCTCAAGACTTATCAAGTTTGGCATCATCGTCGATTACTCTTAACAGCTCTTCACGATACTCCTTCTTCATCTTCATCTCAACCCGCTGCTTTGGCTGAACTTGCATTCATCTCACGAGTACTCATGGTAGATTCAAAGAACTATCATACATGGTCATATCGACAGTGGCTCTTAAGTTACTTCGATGACGTTCATTTATGGACTGGTGAAATCTCATTCGTGGAAAGATTATTGGAAGAAGATGTTAGGAATAATTCTGCCTGGCATCATAGATTCTTTGTTGTTTTCGGGAGAGGTCAGCAACAAGGTGAAGAGGATAGACCGGAAGTGTTGAAGAGGGAACTCGGGTAAGATCTCTCTCCTTACCCACATAATTCTTCTCCGTTTTTCATCATTATTCCTTTTTCATATATAGATACACCAAAGACCAGATCTCACTGGCACCAAACAATCCATCAGCATGGAACTACTTACGAGGAATATTGGAACAAACCAAAACACCATTCTCTAACCTCGAATCATTCGTCCAATTATACGTTTCGTCAGAACCTCCAAAACAGGATATCTTGGACTTGGAGAATCCTGCTCCTGGAGAAAGTGCGGAACTTCCTTGTGTAGCAGCGTTGGAGTTTTTGGCAGATATTCACGAACAAGCGGGTGGTGATCGAGTACAGAAAGCCGTAGAGGTAAGTGTGTGTTTGGGTAGCTGATGGTTGTGATCTGACACTAATCCTGTATATTCGTAGATTTGGAAGTCACTAGGAGAGAAATACGATAATATGAGGAAAAAGTGCGTCGTTCTTTTTCGCTGTCTTTTCTTGCGCGCAGATGTTAACTGGTTCTCCCCCTTTGTTAGGTACTGGGAGTATCGAATCAGAGAGGCCTTAGCATCGTCTTAGTCAATTTGTACGCATATATAACGTCGAAGGGGAATGAAGTTCAATAACAAAGTGTACTTTATGAGTCCAGTATCAATGCATTTGGATAAAATAGCAATGTTAGAGATGGAAGTACAATATTGTGAAGAAAAGAGTAGAGTGATGATTAATTATACTGCTACATTTTGCGGTTGACTAGTTATTATTCCGGTAAACTAGTGCAACCTTCCCCTCGTCCCATCCTCGAATTGAAAACAACTAGACTATGATACAAATCCAAACAAACCGTTCCAAAAACAAAAGTTTGGTTTTGGGGATATCTTCGGTAGAGTTTTTTACCGTCCGCTTCCTACTACTAACTGAAGACCGCAACATGATGAAGCTTGTATTGAAGCCTCCACGAAGATGTGATGAAGAAGGGGTTATACCACGATGATAAAGAGAGTATGCGAGCGGCCAAGTCGGTCGTTCTAGCGAAAGATTTCGGTTAGACGTGTTCAAGCGACAGTGACGACATTGCCAACAATGAAGAGTCAACTTACTCTTCAAGTTCTCTCCTAAAGATATTCAACATCTCCAATCCTTCCCCTTCCTCAACGTCTACACCCAGATCATCCTCATCCACTCTCGGCAAGGCCGTCACGGGTATTGAATTCAAAGTGTTCCAAACGTTGGAGATCGCTTTCTTTCTCGAAGATATCCACCAACATCGAGTTATCGTCTGACTGAACTTTGAAAATGTTGTCATGGCCTTTAAGATTTCGGAGGTTGTTACTTCTCCGTATCTCCAAATGTGATGATGACAGTCCCCCGAAGAAGTAGTGGGAGAAAGCTCTGGATCTGACAAAGACCCATAGTCGAACTCGTCGAGCTCTTCCTCTGAAAGATTTAAAGGATAGCGGTCGTAGGGTGTAGATGTAGCATCTAGAGAGTGGGTAGAAGTTGAGAAATGGTTGTCGTTGGCGTCGACACCATCATAGGCGAGGGTATGTGGGTAATAAACTCTCGTTCGGCATTTTGATAACCTTCCGAATTTTGAACGACCAGTGATTTCATGAACTTGGATTGGAATGTGAAGGTTGCTTATACTCTTGCATTTGCGAGACATGGAAGTGGAGGCCGAGGACGAGGTTGTAGTGGTAGTGGTGGACGAGGGGCCAGCCTGAGAGCAACTAGCGCTGCTACTCCATAGTGACGATGACATTCTGAAGTTAGGATAGGATGTCCAAGTACGTGAAGAAAAGTGCCGAGTCTTGCATGGACTGAATGTAGTTTATATGAAAGGTCGGAGGGACGAGGAACTTGAGAGAGGGGAAGAAAGGAATTGTCGAAGAATGGCGATCGAGAACAGAAGGAAACTCCGGGTGTATGCCATTACCACGCCATGATAAGTGAGTGTGCTAAGCCTCTCAACTTCTAGTTCGTTCGGCTTTATACCCCATTTTTCTTTTCTAACCCCACCTTGTGTTCGTCGTCACCGGAAGATCGCTCAAGGCCATCATATCGCAAATAACATTCCCAGGTAAGAACGGTGTCTAATGATATTGTATATCAGAATTGTTTTGGTCTGATCACCGGAATGGGAGTTAAAAAGTACTTCAAAAGATGTGTTTCCCCTCGGTTTGTTGGTGGAAATGCGGAACGAGTCGATTGCGAGTCGAGTCGTGAGGTGAGATTGCTCTGGACTTTGAGGATGGTACCGGTGACTCCGACCTGTTCTAATTATTACTTCAGGAGGAGGGGTTTACCTAGACTTGTCGAGTTTTGGTGGGTTTATTTTTGAGGAAGAATACGGAAGTCTGTTTTCAGTCGAGAGTGTGCCTTCGACGCTGAGAAACTTTGAGAAGAGTAAAGCGGACCGGGATGAGCATCAGATGGCGCCTAATGTTATCGCAACACGAGGCTACCAGACGCACCACCAGAAAAAGTTAAACACGGAAAAACTTCGGACTACTCAAAACAAAGTCTGACGGGCCACTTATACTTCAAGCGGCGAGTTCTGAGTGAGATTCTGCACCTCAGTTACATAGAAGATAGCATTTTAAAGTAACTCCTCCGGCTAGTAGGTTCAACGCTGCCACAGTCTATCTCTGTATTTGAATCGAGGTGCGTACTAGAGATAGAACATCGTTGAAGTCATATCGAATGCCTGAGGAACACAACTCACCAAATTTTCCAATTGTAGCAGCTCTTCCAATGAAGTGAATGCGGCTTAAGGTTCTCTCAGTGACTTCCTGCTCCAAACAAGCTCCAGGGTGAATTGATAAATTTGCCTGTAGGACTTGTTCCTTTCATTTAAAAAAATCTGATAGCAGAGGTTGTCTTAACAGCGATCATAGCAGTAATATTGCCAAAATCCATGCTCGTGGTCCGATGTAATTTATAAGGAGATAGACTGCCAATATACTATTCTTTACGGAAGAATACATTTATCTGAGCTCAACCACAATCTCCCCTGACAAGTAGTGCATTCATGGCTCCAACGAGGCACTCTTAATTGTGCCAAGACACAATCTTGTTATACGCAATGGATGCAAATGAAAGAAATCGCCGATCATGCACTTTGTCGACAGATTTTATGTTCGTCGCGCCATCATTGCCACCGACTACAACTTGACTTGGATAGCTTGTCAATGATTCTTGTAGCATAGATTATAGATGTGCGATCAAACCTGGTAAAATGTATTGTTTTTTGAGGTAGTAGATACATATGGATGACATTTGTAATGTAATCTGGAAAATGAGAGAGTGGTGTTTGGGATAGCTCACCGTAACCGTGTACCCAGTACTAACACCGAGACATGATTGACACCTACAGATAGTGATCATTTGAATAGGATATCAATCCCTGGTAGTATATCGGCTAGTACACGCGCCTGTCATTGTAACGAAGTGGTTCGCGAAGGACTGTTGCGCGCGAAAGCGGGGTTCGACTCCCCGCCAGGGAGTACCCAGTAAAACCCCGTGTTTTCGTTTTTTAAGGGCCAATCCTCCAGCAAGTGTGGTTGGTCTTTTAGGACTTCTGACACTAGCGTAACATATCCGATAGATCCCTCCGAACGACATCTTTGCCCTATCACCACTTACTGTACTAGATACTTTATTTTCTTGAACGACGATTATTTAACTCTCTATTTTCACAATATGTCAACACTAGCAAACGGATCACCAAATACCCCAAGAATGAATGTAGAAAAGCGAAATTTATTTGACACGAATACACAAGATGAGTGAAATCTACATTACAAGTGAGATGGGTATCTGTCGTCTTGAGGGGTGGAATACCCAAGTTCATTGGTTGAAGTACTCAGACTGGACTTTCAGAATAACGACCTACATTCCAATATCCGAGTCAGTTCGATATGTCAATATTATGTACCATAATCACTTACGTTTCTTCAATTCCTCGTCATCATCCGCAACGTCCACAACAGTCTGAACAAATATATCAATCGTACCTACAGATCCAGACCTGCCTCTTCCACCAAATCCTCCTCGAGCTCCAAAACCATGACGATAATTTGACGGTCTTTCGTGATTATGCGATGATGACTGGGAATGTTTGAGTCTCGGGATGCCACCACTTGATCGTGGAGAAATAGGGCTTAATTCGATATCAACTTGATTTGTGGTAGTACTTTTCGAATTTGAACTTTGACTTGGGTTCCCAAATATACCACCACTATTAGCACCTAATGTGTCGATTGATTGGAACCATTCGCCTCGAGTTCGTCTTCGAGGGTTGAGGATAAGGCGAGAGCCCTATGATATAGATATAACATCTTCAGAACACTGCGTGCATGAGATGGAGAGGGGAGGCGTACGGCGAACGATAAAACAGAGAGGAGCCACCTATGGTGTGACTTCATATCAGATATGATACCCTATACAATGAAGGTAGATATACATACGTGTAACAAATCCCTGCTAGTGGGTTATGAACCAACTTGTAGAGCATAGAATTGATAAACATTGTCACTAAATTGAATGAACACAGTTTAATCAGGAAAAAAAATTGAAGAAATGAATAGAAGAGGAAGATCTCGACGTACGGAATATAAGTGCATAAGCCCAAGTACCATCGGAAACAAATTGTTTCATAACAGGTCTCTTTCCCCACCCAACCTTTACAGCGACCACAAATTTGAACAGTGTTAATGCAAACAGGAGAGTTTCAAAGGAAAGAGAAACGATCCTAGGAATGAAAGAAACTAGAGTCAGATAATAGGCTCCTGCAAGCTTCCAAATGGAAGAAATGACTTTTCACCAGAATGTGATGAATATCGAGGGACTATGGGTTACGAAACATTCAGAATTATACTCCAGCCGCGGAGTAACAACACTGAGAACATAACACATATACGAAATTTCAGCAATAAAGAGGCTGGTAAAAACGACCAGTAGAATTCTATTCCGGTTGAACAATGCGTACACTGCGATGTGAAAGCAACAATGTCAGTTTTTTTGATTCGTCCGGGTGAACGATACTATATTGCACCTCTCATCAACAGAATGACATCCACGGTTGTTATCGTAAGTTGTAGAATAACAGCTTGGACGATTTGCCATTTTGAACATTCGTGTGAGGAGAAGAAAAGTCCTGTCGTCCCGTCTATTTCAATCGCTAATAATGCCCTGATCAGAGTATGAAGGATTAATTAAGTACCGCATTTTTCGACATTATGTAGGAAAGAACGTACAATTGGAACAACCAAGGTAAATATCTCGCTGCTATGTACATTGCTTTGACAGGATTCCAGTGACTTCTATATCCGAGTGTTGCTTAGAGGCTGGAACGCGTGGTTAGAATTCAGAGTCATGAACCAACTCACTTCCAGACCAATTCAATCTGTCGTAAATTTGTTCAAGACTTGAGATCAGAAATTATGGTTGATTCCATCGCGTTAAACAATTGAGAGTGTACTCACTTCGTCTGCAAAGTTAATCATGATGTCATACGTTAGCATCGTCACTGCAGCAACTGTAAAGTGGATAGATTTATAGAGGTGAGATAAAGTTGTTTCGGACTCGGAGGTTTAATCATGAGGAACATACCTTCACTTCTACTAACAGAATGAGTCTGCTCTAAAACTAACTCTGGACGTTCGGCAAAAACAGAGAAGGTGAGGAAGAAATTCGCTATCATCGTCTACGTTGTAGGTGATGAACGTTGTGACACTAGGCGTTTCCTGGAACAAGTGGAGCTATGGGAACCAGTGGGAAAGAGGGTTCAAGGAAAGATAGAGGGGAGAGATGAGCAGAGGTATCTCTTGCAGCGGCTCTAAATCAACCATGCATCACAATCTGAAAAAATGGAAGGTCCAGGGGGGTAAGGGAAGAAGGAATACAACCAACGCCTCACATAGTATGGTATCCAAGATATAACGAACCTGTCTTGATCCCCAGACCTACTCCAGGGATCCCAATAGCTGTATATATGCATCGGAGACAGAAAGAAGAGTGAAGCTCTTAAAAAATGTCCGGTGAGAGTGGAGGATAACGATAAGCTTTGACGAGCGAGATCGTGTGAAACATCTGTATTGAGTGGACTTTGCTCTGAGAGATGACTTTGAATCAAGACAGATGCTTTCCATAACTTCGACAAGTGATTGATGGTTCTGAGAGGAGTTGTCGAGCTGCTTGAAGAGGCCACTCGTGAAAATCTGTTTTATGGCGATTCGACAACTTTAGATCATGCTTACAGATCATCAGATATGTATCACCAGTTGATTCAGTTCACTTCCCATGAATGTTTTGACCCATTTTGACTTCTCGGTTGCTGAAGTCACACGCGTGCGACCTGTTGAAACACCGTTACAAAGCTATTAGAGTAAAGACACTGAGAGATTTCCGACAATGGTTTACTTACCTGGTCGTCGAACGCTGAACGCTCAGCTCTCCGGTAGGCCCACGCATCAGTCAGTAGCTTCCTTGTACTCGCTGAGTATATATTCCACATGGGTGGTGCTGCGCGTCCCGGACGTGTCGGATTTTAGATGATCTATGAAGGATGGACCATGTTGACAAGAGTCCCTTATTCTTCCTGAAGTTATGTACGATCCATGGGGAAGAAGAAGAATCAAGTCAGGACATGTATCCTTTGGAAGACAGTGGCAGCATATAGTACCTGTCGTGATAAGAGGGAAAGGTCAAATTAGAGAAGCGATAGAATCTTGTCAGTGAGATTTCACCAAGTGGATCCAGCGTACCGAATTAATAATTTAATGGTTGTTATAACAGTTGGATGATATGCTAGGACCGTTGAAAAGAGCACCTTAGAATTAGATGGTCAGAATCCGCCTCATTTGCAAGGCGAACTTGGGACTTACAAATTTCTTTGTGCAGGTTTACCGTTACAGTACAGTACGTCTTCAAACGGGTTGCGTACACGAGAGTAGCATATATAATATCAAGAAGAGATGCATATAAAGACATCAAAAACAACACCAGAGAGAAACTACGATATGCGAATGATTACAATACATGAAACTAAACACAGAACAAAGGAAATACTGAATTAAGCCGCTGCTGGGGCAGCTGGAGCTGCACTACTAGCAGTATAATCCTGTAAACACCATGAGCATGAATGCGCATAAGATCAATGGAGCGGCAATTTTACCTCCATCTCTGCATCTAAATCAGCAGCACTCTTCTGGGGCCTCTCATTCTTTCTTCGGGGTCCTCCTCCGCCTCTTCCTCGTCGAGGACGACCTCCAGTCCTACAGTAGCAGACCTTGGTAAGGATTTGAAGATCATGGGGCTCAGCTAGAAAGAACGAACCTAGGTTGCGCGGCGGGCGCGGCAGCAGCAGGTGCTGGGGCAACACGTGATGCGAGAGATGCTGGGGCTGCTGGACGTGAGGGGTCGACGACGATCTCAATTTTCATAGGTCGTTCTGTAGATGTAGCGGAGAGTGGGGAAGAGCGGTAAAGTAGAAAGAGGAGAGCATAGGTTAGTCGGCTGTTGGCGAAACTTGGAGAGCAAGCAAGTAAATAGAGACGACATATCGGCTGAGAAGCGAAAGCGGCAGATGTTTGCAGAAGTAGTTGATACACTTTACACCGTTTGATGCGCAAGTCACTTCTTCACGTTGAAGGGTGCTATCGTCGGGTCCGTCCCCATCGAGCTGTTGATCCAACGTGAAGAAGAATCACGATGGGTCTACAAGAATCCGTCGCTACCAAGCAGCAAGGAGCTGGACTATGCCCCAAACTGAAGGGACCTCGAGGTGCTAGGCACTCTTAGTCTGCGGTGACGATCGTCTCCTAGTTGATCAGGCTAGGAGGAATGTTCGTCGGATCCTGCACAGCTATACGTTGGTTCGGCGACTTCGACCGCATAGTGGTTGCATGACACTGCGGATGGAGCGCAAAGGTACCGCGGACTTCAAGGAAAACCTGCTTGAACTGAAGTGCGAGCCAATCCGGTAAGTAGCACAGCTGAACACAAACAACACCCTTCCAAACACAACTCCAACAAGAAGCACAACCGACATGTCGCACTCGAAATATCGAGTGTAGCGAAAAAGGAACTGGCTGAGGCAAGCGAAATACTGAGGTGAGAGCGGTTGATACTAACTTCCATCAATAAGCCGATTGTTGTATTGTGCGTAAGCTTTGGTGCCGTCGCCTTTACGTTGGAACTGAACGGACGCGAGACCCTTTGAGCGACCTTGGGCGTCGTAATGAAGGGTGACATCCTTGAGTGGGCCAACCGTTTGAGAGAAGAGCTCCTGATGAAAAGTCTTAATATAGAATGCATAGAAGGGTTACAATGTCAACGAACCTTGACCTGGGCTTCATTCACATCAGGAGGGAGATTCGAAACGATAATCTTGTCAGCGGGTGCGGGTGCCGACTTGGCACCGTTGGATGCGGGGGCAGCGCGAGCACGGGTAGCAGGTGCAGCACCCCTATTGCCGAGAACTTGACTTTTACCTCCGCGACGG